TGTAAATGTGCCTTCCCTTCGTCCTGACTAAATAACATTCCCGTTCTCATTTTCAATCTATCAACAAAAAATATATTCAGCTAATTATATTCGCACAGTTTGAAATCACTGAAATTAGAAGCAAAACAATAAGTGACCTCCACAGCAGAAGAAAAGTGAAGCAACAAGATAGCAGAAGCAAGCAACAAAAAACCATATGAGCTTTTTGTTGCTGCCATGCTTTGATCGATATTGGATTCACAAGGCTCTATTATACTCACAAGAACAAGAACACTCTCCCAGGTACCAAAAATGTGTGAAGAAATTGTTCAGAAGAATCGGCAACGAAAACCCATAAAGCTGTTTGATTCAACAACAAAAATTTATTGAAATCTATATATTGTGAGTTAAGAGTTGGAGGCTTTCATTGGGATGGAATTGTGATGATGTAATAAATATACGATACTTATCTACTCACACCCATTGCATTGCCTGGTGTTAGGAAGAAAAGAGGTTGAGTTTGTTGAACATGTTAATAAGTGTGAGAAAGAAATTATATTTTTCAATAATATATAATTAATATGATTTTTTTTTGTAGATATAATTATTAATTTCAGTTTACTTTATTTTACTAGATATATATTAGTAATTTTTATTAATTAGAAATCTATCAAGTGATTTTTAGTTTAAATTAACTAGTTACAAGTAACTACACTAATGCGGTCAATTAAAGTTAAAGATTTATTTTGTTATATATGTAGTATATAGCCTGTGCAAAAGCTTTATTAATATTATTTGATCCTATTCATATGTTTCAGGCTTGTAAAACATAATTTTTTTTTCAAGAAAGCAATCTATCATGTCAGTAAGTAAGTACAAAGAAGTTGAAGTAGATCATGCTTGAATTGGTCTGTGTGTATATCATGTCAAGGAAAAAAAAATTGGTCTGTGTATACACTTGGAAAAATTGAGGAATCCAAAAAGAAAAGAAAACGTACGTGGAGATAGGAAAGAGAAGGAGATCATGCTTGGAGACAATATGGATGTCTGTGGTGATAATGGAGATAATAACTTTCGGGGCTTGGATAGAAAGCAAGCGATGTTGCTTGAGACGCAAGAGAAGCGGCAATGCCTCCTAACAGGCAATGTTGATCATCATGTCATGTACCACCAGGACAACAATTAGAAGTACTGATGATCAATTACAACAATTTCTCATGCGAAGTATTGATTTCACAAAAATTTGTTCCACAAGTACCATTAGAAGCTAAACCAATTGCCTTGCATGGTGAGCAAAATTGGGGACTACAATGGTGCATCTTCATGTCAGGCATTGACAGTAATGGTCCTCTAGCATTACTAGGAACCAATCAACTACTGAAAGGGGAAGGAAATTTAGGGCAGCAAAAAGCTTCATGTCACGTGTCAACAATGCACAAGCATTCGCTGCTGATCATGAACAGAGTGCCTTAAGGAAAGATAGTTGGGGGCGGCAGAGGTTTGTGTATGTGGGACTCATAAGTATTAGAGAGGTTGTCAACAGTGTAAGTAAATGTGGTACAAATAACATCATTTTGTACTTATATTTTTTTTAGGACCTTTCTTATTGAGAGGGGCGATAATATACTAAATTCACACACACTATATGAATGCTAGGACTCGAACCCATAAGCTTTTCTGAATGAGCAATTGCTCCAAACCATTACACTAGTGAGTCTTTGCCACTCTATACTTATATTAATGGATGCCAGTTTGCATTTTCCAAAGTGACAATCACCATCAATAACCCTATTATTCTGTGTATTTATACTTGCACGGAAACAACATGTGTTGACATGAAAACAGTAAGTTGATCCATTGAACTAAGACGATCTCTTTTTCACTGGATCCAATAATTTTCAACAACTTTATACCTTTTCACATGGTACTGACGATGTGTATGCATCCCAAAAAAGAAGGACGTCTTAATCTCATGCATTGTTGCAGTGCAGGAACCAACGAATGGAAAGTCATGATGCTAGCTTTCTTCAAGCTTTTCTAACTTTCTAGGCAGCTGAAGACTTGGAGCCATGGATAATATTTGAGTGGAATATATACTCACAGAACGATATAATACCAATAATGGAGGCCGGGGTGGCTCTGGCCTATAGTTCAAGTGCACCTAACTCAAAGAGATACATATCCACTATCTGCATTTTTCGTAAATGGATATGTCCCAAAACATTCCATCTTTTGATCACTTCCAAACATGTTCGTGATCAATTTTGCTTGAGCCCACGTCTCTATCTCTCAGCACTTGTGTATATATACATGCTAATAGCTTGATGACATGGTCACATTTGTTATGCATTATGGCTCGTTTATGTGTAACGTTATTTCTTGTCCTCCTCTTTGCTCTAGCCTTCTGTATCCCCTCTTTTGAAGCCAGAAGGCTACTGACAGTTGAAAACAATGCAAAGGGTGACGAGCTTTCTGATCATCTGGGTGAGCATGACCATCACCATGCGGTGCCAAGTAAAATTAATGTTGAAAAGCAGTTGGCCATGACTCTTCATCAACTTCATTCTGTTAACGCTGATCGTGATCGGATTCTGAAGGAGGCAAACCCGAGCCCGGGAGTTGGCCATAATTAGTATATTACTTGTGTTTGAGCTAGTTATATAGCTCACCTTGCTTACCAAAAGGGAAAGAAAAAAACTCTTGGGGATTCAGATCACTACTTTTTAAGTTACGGAATATATATTAGTTATGTTTCATTTTGTTTCTCTTTTGATGGCGATGAATTATAAAATGTATATGATATAAGGTCAACATGATGTATCGAAGACACTCAAACTTGTGTTATGATATAACACATGTATAATAAACTTGTGTTGTTAACTTTGCTCATCTTCTCCTTTCAGATTCTTTTAACTTTGGAGGGATATGATTATGGAAACTCGTAGGATTATATTTTAGGAGTTTCACTAAAACACCCAAAATGGGAGCTGAAATTATAAAAAAACTCAACACTCAAAACACTTTATAAACACACCCAAAACCCATCATTACACACACTCAAAACCCATTTATAAACACACCCAAAAAATATACAATTGTTGACTTTTGGGTTGATTTTGGGTGTGTTTCTATGTTTAAATAATGTTTGGGTTTTTTTATAAATACATGTCTAGGATTGGATTTATTTATAAATTTGTATATATTTTAAGAGCAATATATTTGACACTCATACCATGGTTGGTCTAAGTTTATATAGCTCAGCCCAAGCTAGCCCATCCCATTTTACTAGCCCAAAAATGATCTCAGGACACTTATGCTCAAATTTTAAAATTTTGAAAGTCACGTTTACAGACATACCAAAATTAACCTTTTAAGAGCATTTCCACTCATTTGTCATGACAAAATGAAAGAGGAGGTAAGGGTTGTTACCATTCACATGAATAGTGTCTGTCCTTGCAATTTTTTTTGTTGATTTTCCACCCATTATTATGGCAATCCAATGACAACCACTATTCACATGATATATGAGGAGAAGAATTTGTATAGAGTTTTGGTGTAGGAAGTGAAGAATATGACTAGGTATTTATTAAAAAAACTTTCTGAAATTTTTGATTTTTTTTCCTTTTTTTGTTATTTAAATTGGTTGTAATGTCATCATTAGGTCAACTTGCTCAGGCAGCAGCCCAGACAAGTCTTGTCTTTGGACTTGTCCAGGCTAACGGAGCCCACTTCTTGCCTGGGCTGGCCTTCACCTATGAACTTTGTTTTTGTAAGCTGGGGGACCTTCTACCAATACTGGCCTGCACGGGTGGAAGTGCTCTAAAATTACATTTTTATTGAAATTTTTTGGTACTAAAAATTACATTTCATTTCCTCAAAGCTTGCTCGAAAAAAAAAAAAAAAAAAAAAAACAGAGGAGGAGCTAGCCACACCTTCTTTCGTTTGTGCTGCATTCACTCTTAAAGATGAGCGCGTATATATACATCTTTCTTGTTTTTGGTTCCTTAGTTGTGATTTCCTTACTCTCTCTTTTTTGGTCCTCTTCTTGGTTCTTTTTTTTTTTTTCTTCTTTAGGTTTTCTTATTGTTTTCATTAAAAAAAAAAATTTGTATTAAAGTTTTGTTCATTGTAGTAATTTCATTTCAAAAAATAAAAAAAAGAAGGGAATTGTTTTTTTTTTGTTTTGTGTGTGTGTGTGGTCATTATTGCGCAAAATATTAGTCATTGGGTCCTATAATCGCAACAGAAAAAAGAAATCCAGTCCCAAAACCCAAAGCCCACCTAAAAATCCCATCTCAGCAATCCAAGCCAAGCGAAGACAACAAAAAAATCGTGTAACGCATCCCGAAATTTAGCCCAGCCCACCTTTTTATTTATGGGACATTTTCAGTTTCGGTAAGAAGCTCACAAGTCTCGCTGTGTGTCACCCGTCAGTGCTCTCCACCATTTCCAGCAGAGAGAATGTTGAAGAAGTGACCGAGGGTCTCAATTTTCCTCTCTTTTCCTGTTGTTTCTCAGCAACCAGACAGAGTAAAGCGGTACCCTGAAGCTAGAATTGGCTCCAACAAACCAATGCAGAAACTATATCAGGTATTTTTCCCTTTTCTTTTTCTTCTGAAATATCAATATTTTGTATAATGCTCTGTTTGGATACCAAGTAAACCCAAAATCACAAAAAGAAAACATACTTAGTGCCAAACCTTATAGAGAAAAATTCAACTTCAGCGGATTGTTTGTTAATTATTTATTTATTTTGTCACTTTAGGATTGATTTGACACTAACAACAAGTCTAGTCCTTAGTTGGTATAGATGTTTACTGAAAATATTCTCTTATGAATCATTTGTTAGGAGAATTTTCACAGAAGTTGGATAGATTTTTATGGAGAACAAATTTTCATGTGAAACTGTTTAAGGGATTTTTTTTTTTTTTTTTTTGGGGGGGGTCTCAATAGGAAACTCTCTTAGAAAATGGTGTTTTGTTGGTTTTTTTTAACAGAGAGTGTATGATATCGAATCGTAAATGGGATCGAACTCAAGGTGTTGTAAACCATGCATAGGAGATAGGATCAGTGGATTGCCAGATGCAATTCTTAGCCACATTCTTTCTTTCCTTACAACAGAAGATGCTGTGAAGACCAGCGTTTTGTCACATAGATGGTTCGATGTGTGGACTTCTGTTCCCAAGATAAACTTAACTCTTGGTTCACAGGCAGCATTTGAACCTTTTGCGCAGTTTGTGGACTGTGTACTTTTCTTTCGTGGCTCGTCAAACATTCATACCTTCCAGCTTCGTTGTTCTGTAATCGAGGAGGATTTTTGTCGTATTGATCCCTGGATTTACACTGCTGTTAGGCGTAATGTTGTCGAATTTGAATTTAACCTCGATGTGGATGTGGACTCAAAGTCACACAGATACGAGGGTTATGAGTTGCCTAGAAGGCTTTTGATGTGCAACACATTGGAGGTTTTGAAGCTGACTCTGAATCATAAAGATATTATCATCAATCCTCCCTCCGATTGTTTCCCAAGTCTTAAGTTCCTCCATGTTACACTCCAGTATCCTGGTGGTCGCTCATTGGAGAAACTCCTTACTTGCTGCCCTGTACTCGAAGATTTGATTATAGAGGGACACCTTAAAGATGATTCAGTTGTGAATATTAATGTCTCTGCACGTAAACTAAAAAGACTTCGAATGCGTTTGTCCATGGATCTAGTCCGTTGGGATGAAGGTGATTACAAAATGTTAGAATAGAAGTGCAAAAGAATTTACATTAATGCTGATGCTCCGAATCTTGAATAGTTCAATCTCCAGGATAATTTCTTGGCGAGCTATTCTTTGAACAATGCAAAATCCCTAAGCAAAGCCATGATTGATTTGGGGCGCCTGTATACATTAGAGGACCCTGACTTTGCCCGTGACTCTGTGATCGTATGCACAGGCTTTTTGCAGGAATTCACAATGTTACATATTTATCACTTTTATCTCCAGTTCATGGGGTAAGTATGCTCTAACTTGTTCCATTAGTGTCTAATAGCATTTTCACGTACTTCTTCTATATATTGGAAATGCTATATTATGGTGAGGACATATATAATTTTTCTGGAGCATTTCGCTGACGTGTATACTTTATCGTTTGTGTTGGATCGTTTCACTCGAGATCAATATCATCTACCTACATTTAATATTTTGAACTGCTTGGAGGTACATCTTGAACCCTGCTTCTCGTGGCAGTTTTTGACAAAGTTGCTAAATATATCGCCCAATCTGGAATATCTTGTCTTCGCAATTGTAAGTTTAAGGTTTAGGGAATATCTTGTCTACACAGTTGTAAGTAACACATGGATTTACGCTTATGCTAAACAGTACCACTGTGCAATGTTCAATGATTCATAGAGTTCAGTCTAACTCATTTACGTTTTAATGAATTTTAGCACATCAGCTACTCTGCAAAACTGGAAAACCGTGAGAGTGAGTTTGCAGTAGGTCAATGGAGTCAGCCAGATTTTGTGCCTATCTGTTTGTTGTCAAGCCTCAAGAAAATTTGCATACAGGGATTCCATGCGTGGCCAGATGAGATAGAAGTGGTGAAGTACTTATTGAAGCACGGTGAAGTATTGAATACGGTGAAAATTTGTCCTTCTTACTTTCATTCAGAAGAAGAGATGAAGCTAAGGCAGAAACTGTCAATGTTCCCAAAGGGTTCAAGGACTTGTCAAATTGAAGTTATGAAAATCAAGTCCTAGGCTTTATATAAACTCCATTTTCAAACTTGTAAATGGATCGCTCTTCATAATAAATAATAATAATAACTTGCATTGTGTTTTAAAATTTTTACTCTCCATATAAAATCTGCATTGTTATTGGATTTTTTTTTTTTTTTTTTACTCTCTATAGACGGTTTTGAGTGGAGAATGAATGAAATAGAATTGTCTGGCAGAATCGTATGATAGGGAAAGTGCAGACCCTCCCACTTGTCGGGGTTACCGGGCTGGCTAACCTAACTATGAATTTATATCGATTTGGGATAAACAGAGGTCTAGGATAGTCGGAGTGAGACTGCGGTACAGTAACGAACTTATGCTGAGCAAATTTGATGTTGCTCTAGTCATTGATTGATCTGTACACTTTATCCTATGTGCAGGATTCACGCTGAATGCGTCAATATCATCTGCCTACATTTGCTAATTTAATACACTTGGAGCTATTTCTTCATAGATGCTGCTCTTGGAGATTACTGACAAAGTTGCTCAAGAAATCCCCCCACCTGAAACATCTTGTCTTTCAAATTGTAAGTGTAGGTTGATGTATATATACCTTAAGCTAAATGGTGTTGGTACCAATATGCAAATTTGAGAGGTTTGTTCTGGGTGTTGGGTTTTTTTATAATTTCAGCCCCCATTTTGGGTGTTTTAGTGAAACTCCCTTTAGTTTAACTAGTTTATTTTAAATAATCTTTACCAGTCGCGGACAGTTATTGCTTACTACAGGGATGACTTCGTACTCCATGTACCCCATGTATGGTGTCCGCCAATGTGGGTACCAATTTGCTTGTCGTCACGCCTCGAGACCATTTGCATACCATTCAAGGGACGGCCAGATGAGATGGAAGTGGTAAAGTACTTGTTGAAGCACGGTGAGGTCTTGAATAACGTGATAATTTATACTCGTGATTTCGCTGTAGAAGACGAGATGGAGTTATGCCAGGAGATTTCAATGTTCCCCAGGGCTTCAGAGACTTGTCAAATTGAATTTCCAAAATAGTGGTATCTAGGTTTTTGTGTGGATTCCATTTTCGAAGTTGTGAAGGGATCCCTTCTCTGTTGATGGAAGTGCACTTGTGTTTTAAATATCTTCTGCTTTTAGCTTCTTTCACTTTGGAGGAATGAGTCATGGAAACATATAAGGAAAGCATACATAACATAATATCTTATCATTTAATTAGTTTTCTGCTGTGACACAAATAAATCATTTCTTGAGAATATTAGTCCGTTTGATAAGTATTTCAATTTTAGTTTTTAGTTTTTAGTTTTTAGTTTTTAGTTTTTGTGTTAGAGTATGGAGGAAAATAAGAGGGAAAATAGAAGTGAGGATGAGACTGAGAGAGAGGTTGAGAGGGGAAGATGGGCGGAATGAGTAACAAAAGTGAAAACAAAAACTCAAAGTGAAAACAATTTCAAATGGATTTCAATTTTAAAATTTTGTTTTCACTTTTACTGTTCCTCCCTACCCATCTTACCCTCTGAATCTCATCTTCACTCTCATTCTCCCTCTTTTTCGTCCATGTTATAGCATAAAAAATAAAAGATTAAAATTAAAATTAAAATAGTCATCCAACAAGGCCTTAGGGATTCTGTTTGATGTGGACTTTCATGGAGAAATCTTTCTCCGTGACATCTTAAAGATGGCCCACTATAACATGAATCCAAGTTCCAACGAATGCATTTACCCTACCTGGGAATCGATGGAAATTCTATATCATGCCAAGGAATATTTAATTTGCTCCAGTCCATGATTAAGCTGCACTTGTGTCATGTTTTGTACCTACGGTGTGCGTCAATTTCTCTGCCTACATTTATAAATAATTTGAACCACTTGGAACCTCACACTTGCGGCTCATCACTGACAAGTTGTGTTTTTAAAGTTTTTGAGTTAAATTAGCAAATTTTTAATATAATTTTTTAAATCTGATTTGAGCAAAGAGGGGTTCTTTTTGTCACATCAGCGGTTTTGACCGATATTTTGTCCAACTTAACTATATTCGACAGACTGTAAAATAAAGCGTGACACGAAGTATTAATCTAACTACACAAGACGCCAAGGGAGTGATGAAAAAGTAATCCTAATTTACAATGACATGTATTTGTATCGTAATGGATCACGTCATTACCTAATTATTGTACTCATCGAGAAAACTAATCATTTTGTCCAAAGCACAAAAAAAAAAATTTAAAAAAAACAAGGAAGAATAAAAGAGATAGGGCCAGAGAAAAGGGTGTGAGAGAAAGAAAGAAAACTGTAAAACCTTGTTGTTTTGTCATTTAGTACGTTCAGCTTTGGGTCGTGTTTGGTCAGCTGTCACGGTCTCACTCACACTCTAGTTTACCACCATTTCCAGTCTTCCTGGAGATAAACGTGCTTGAACGGTGAAAGTGAAGTGACCCAGTCTCTCATCTTCTTTTCTTTTCCTCGTTTCTCAGCAACCAAACAGAGAAAACAGAGTAAACCAATGGAGAATCTCATCATCAGGTTCTCTTTCCC